TCTTATCAGAACCCAACTCATGGTAGATGGTGAAAAATGAAGGAGATAAACTTTACTTAGCTAGAAAGTTGACCTCCACTGAAAGCTTCTTATTTTCTCAGTTGTTTTCTGAGAACCCAACTCATGGTAGATGGTGAAAAATAAAGGAGATAAACTTTATTTAGCTATAGACTTGTAACTTAATAGCAAAGAAAGTTTAGCAAACTTATTACCTCCATTGAGCCAAAGCACAAGAGGCTTGTTTTGAGGATCAGTAGTAGCTTCTGTGAACCAGTAAAAGAGAGCTCGGCCGTGTGTTGAATCGACGGTAATGTAACCGGAATACTGTGAGAATGTCACCTGCGGCTGTCCAGGGAGGGCTGATATTCGATCCAGCTCTTGCTCCGTTGCAGATTCACCGACACCAATCAAACTTATGAATAAGATCATTAAGATGGTCCTCCATTGACTTGCCATTTGCACTCTCCTCCAGAAAGTAAGAAAGGTGCTCTCTCTCTCTCTCTCTCTCTACACAGTATGAGTGAGGGAGATATTAATACATAGAACTGAGTGAAGCATTGATGGAGAAGATTAGCTAGGATTTGAGGTGGCCTCAGCTCTACTATTAATAGATTTCTACAGCCTCCAGGTTGAACTCTCTCCAGTGAGAGGAGTTAGCTGGCACTATGAGGCAATCAAACCTACATCAGAACAGGGTTAGAAGCCCACTAGCCCAGAAGAAGGTCCATAAATGCATCACAGGAATCTCTCTCTCCCCTCCACAGTTGTGGTCCTACGTATGGAAATGAGGAGGAAGATGGTTGGATATGGGCTATGACCAATAGACCATTATGGATATGCCTTTGGGATTCCTTATTTTATAGGCATAAGACAAAGTCCAAAGGATGGGTGGCGCTTGCTGATGGACTACCCACAAACAACCGCGCATATCCTTATCACCAGTACACGAAGCCCTTTTTTGTTAAGGTGGGGTCTGGGGGGGAAAGGACTTCTTTGTGATTATTCTAGTTTAACTACGATTGGCTGGTCCCTGGTTTGTTCATCTTTCATATCCTTTATTATCATTAATTTAAATTTTTTTTCATAATCTTTCTGCTAATAGTCCAACTAATTAATCATGCTTAACTATAACCTCTACTCCATCTACCCTAACAGTTTAGTCTGTACAGGTCTTTGGCTGTTCAACTGATGTATTGTTCCTTTTTGTATGTATTTATATATTTATGTATGTATATATGTATACGTGAATGCATGTGTGTGTGGTTTTAAATGTCTGATATTGGACGCATACACACCATTCAAAATGAATTAATACGAAAAATATTAGGTGTCTTATTAGGAGATTCTTGGCCACTTATTTTGCCCTACATTTTGGATGTATTAAAGAAATGAAAAATCAATAATTAATATATTATAAAATAACATAAAAGATTGATAAATTTATTAAAATGAAACTAAAAACTTGCCTGAAATTCCAAATTTCCAAAAGTTTCATCATAGACCAGATCAGAGTTTGAAATGGCCAAAAATCCCAATGTTTGTACTTTAAAACTTTGTTTATATCTTGAGTGTAGAAATTGAACTGCTACTGCAAATTAAGAGCAAATTAATTAAGGGGAGCTCCCATATTACTTGAAGGGAGTATTAGACAAGTTAAAGAAAAGGGCTCTGACCTATTTATGACTTTCAGGTGGCAAACATGATTCTTGAAAGTTTAAGTTCCCAATATTAACTTACACCGGAAGATCCTAACCGTCCAATGTTCTGCATTCATTACAAGAAAATAATGAACACACCAAAACCTAGGCGAATGTTAGATGTATGATTGGATGACTCTGATCATAAGAGAACTTTGAATTTTGGGACCCACTGAATGATGTTTGAGTCCTCACTGATCTTAATTTATGTACTTCACTTGGGTTCTTTGAACTGTTTCTGACCGACCCAAGCAACTAATTAATCCCTTCTTCACCTGGGTGCTTTGTAACTGTTAGAACAGATCTATATATCCATGATTCCCGTGATTTGCTTCCTCCTATTCTCTTCATAAAGTCTTTTTCGAGATCCAAACAAACCCCATGTGCATGCAAACGTGCAACCTAGAGCAGCAAATTAACAAAACAGTAGTTTTTTTTTACTACAAAGGCTACAAACTAATAATATATACAGTTTCTGATGCTGTAGATGATCTCATCCTTTCACAATCACCCCAACGGCTACGGCAGCAGACCTTTGACTCTCCCCATGTTAGTTTATAGCTTATAAAATCTTTTTTTGGCCAAAGTTTTCATTTGTCACCATCCAAGGAGTTATAGATAAGCATTGAGGGGAATTGTCTTTATCCTCTGTATCAGTATTCAAGTAGCTAGAGTAGTTCTTACTTCTTACTCTTTTATAATGAGTTCATGTCTCAAGAAATATTAGATTTTGGGTTTGAGATTTCTATATACATTAGAGGTTGATAGGGATATTCATCCTACTTTGCACATAATCAATCAAGATAACGACATAAATAAATAAATTTATAGGGGCCTGGGTCCGGAATTTTTGGCCAGTTATGGATGTTCATTGGGTTATAATGAAAATTGTGGTCAATGAAATGCTTTGAACCGGCAATAGGAAACAAAATGGCACCTTCATGGTTTGATTTTTTTAGGTCTAGAAGGGAAAAAATAAAAAACAAAATTTATTGGTTGTGAGAGAGTAATTAATTTATAGTATATATCGACAACCTAGATGTGGCCTACTGCTAAATGTCTTAATCTAAAAAAAAGGAAATTCAAAACAAGCTTTTAGGAATCTTGTTGGATAAAGATTGTATTTTATTTGTCTGTAGATCTATGGGGTTGTTTTTGTTTTTTATATATTAAGGTTGGAAACCAATAAAGGGGTTCCTTTTAGAAGGCTAATAAAGGGTTCTTTTTTGACATTGGGCTCGAGCTTGGTAAACCATTGAAGGGTTAGCTTACCTACAAACACATATAAATAAATAACCAGAGTGAAAGAGTCAGAATCATTGAATTGACTTAGGAGTACAGACTAGCTAGAGCTATCTCTAGCTCATAAGTTATACCTGCTGAAGAGTGACTTGGGTGTTAACTGTACCCATAGCGAACCAGATGAAKATATCATGTTCAGATTATTAATGGAGATTCAAATTTCAAAAAGGTCTGTCTGGCAGTGGATGGATAAATGAAGTATTATGAATTTTCAGTCTGCTACCTCTAAGGCAGTCATATAGCTTAAGAAGTTGACCCACATAGGGCTAGGGGGGGAGAGAGAGAGAGAGAGAGAGAGAGAGATGGGTGTGCGGATATAGCTGGCTTTGGATAGAAACAGTCCAACAGAAACCTGATCCAAATAAAAAGATTAAAGCCCGGTTAGGCTAAAGAAGAAGAAAATAGATATGAAACAAGAGCTTCAAAAAGTTTCCCCTTTTCATGTATTTACTATGTGTTCAAAACTCAAAAGAACCTGYCCAGATTTATAATATTCAAAATGCTTCACCATCTTATAGATTTATCAGTAGTGGTCCTCTATTGACKTAACCTAAACTACACGCAAAAGCTGGAAAAAAAAAACTATGCAGTAATTACTTAGACAGTTAAGTACTTGACCACTTTTGATATCTGATTTGTAGACATTCCTAAAGATAATGCGAGTGAGGACTGAAATAATCATGTAACAAATCCACAATAAATTGTCATTTTCTTCATAGCTGAAAGAATGTTAGGTTACAATGGATAAGGATGTTACCAAATAACTGGAAGGCTTAATAATATAGTACTGTTGGATGAATAACATATGGTCATTAAACCCAATTCAACCCTTGATTTCTCACTCATACAGTCATACTTGCTGAATTTAGGTTACAATGGATATGGATKTTACCAAATAATTGGAAATTGATAATATAATACTGTTGGGTGAATAACATATCATCATGTATCCAATTGAACCCTTGATTTGTTATATCATATTACTTCTTTTATTTTTATTTATTTATTATTTTCTTAGAAGAACACTTATGTACAAATATTTTCTTGTACACTAATAAAAATCCATTTTTTTTACGCCTATAAAAATCCATATTACACCATATATTTGGAATATTATGAGATCTAACTGTACTAGAGACTTGAAACTACAATCTTGGGCCCTCTTCTTTTACTCTTAGGGGGCGTTTTTTTTCTTTTTTTTTTTTTGGATTTTGAGAGGGGAAAGTCGGTCAATGGGACTGATTTTGGTTCCCATTGACCAAGAGTCTCATGTTCTTTTTTCAGCTTTATGTGGGGACCAGGGGAAGTTTATTTTCTTGGGTACCACTTACCCATGAAAGTGGTACCTATCTCATAGGTGGGTAAATAACTTTCCCACATAGGGGGAAAGTTGTCAACACTTGAATGGGACAAAAATGCCCCTTTTAATAATGGATTTCTATGTCTAAAATGGTCATTACCTTATTTACATGGGAAATAAAAGAACATGGGTAAATGCACTTACCCAGGTAAATRTTTCTTAGGAAAAACTTACCCAAGTAATTGCATTTACCCGGGTAAGTTACTTATCGAAAACGGAGCCTTCATGCCTCTTATCTCTTATCTCTTAATACTTTTAAGAGGCATTAAGARCATTTGGTTCCCATTTTATCTTCAGCCTTTAATGCACATCACATCATGTACAATAGCAATAATGTTTACTTTTGTTTTTCAAAAATACCCCCAAAAGCTTATTCCTTTTACATATGATGGCCCTTATTAATAATAATTATTAATTATTACTAATATTTAAATTAATTACTTAATTAATAATTATGTAATTATTTATTTGAAATATAAATTAATTATTTAATAAATGTTCAATTCCTTAAAAATATTTAATAATTTATAACTTTTATTAATTCCACTATTTATTACTTATTTTATATTCATTTAGTTAACTTCTAATTAGTTCGTTAAGTAATTAAACAAACTATCTCATATCCAAGGTTAAAATGGTCAATTGTCATTTTTAGAATTCAACATTCAGATTTCAAAACAATATTCTTCACATTCATACTTTACAACCAAGAAGAGTTCACCAACTCCAATACACTTCTATAAGTAATTATTACAATTTCAAAAGCATTCAAATGTCAGACTTCAATGCAAATGAATAGGCCCTTCGTCTTCTAAATCAAGGATTAAAATATTAAGTGTCTATATTAGTGCACTCAAATATGCTTAAATATATTGATTCACATGTTTTATAAAACATTAAAGCATTCCAAGACTATACTCCAACTCTCTAATGAT